AACGAAACGGTCCTCATGAGAACACCACCAAACCAAAAACTGTCTGTACTTATGGCATTTGCCATGTAGAAGTAATAGCACCATATTTATATGCCCGAATACTCCCTGAAAGTCACGAACTCTACACCTATATACCAACAACACCCAGCCTACGTAGGACTTACCAACCAGAACTTGAGAATTCACCACTGGTATCTTTACTCATACTAGTAACAGATACCCTTCAGATGATTGCATAACTGCCAATACATCTTCCAATCTCTGTCTTTACTGCAAATTGACCCTTCCTCTGCAAAATACTTTTAACCCCCCAAAAAAACATCCTCCATTTTTTTTTTTCTTCTTCAATTACCAAAAGTTACCTACAACAGATTGTGCACTTCACTACCCATCAACAACCAAGGAGGTTCACTTACAAAGCCCACTGTTTCTTAAAGATCCAGTCTAACCACTGGTTTTCTCCTCCTTTACCCATGGCTTTAGCGAGTTTAGCCAGAAGTGCTTGGACTTTTGTTGCTAAATCAACAGCGGCTTTGGCCGTCATGGTCCCCTTATTTGCGTTAGCATCTGCCATTGTGTTACAACAAATCAATACTACAGGTATACCCCACTGTAAATACAATACACGCACAGTGCTCACTCAAGACCCAAGGACTGGTACTGATTTTCTGCAATACGACTAACACTCCATGCATCAACTATTCAAACTACTGTTCAGATTATTAATCTCCCCAAAGATACTATTATGGCATCAAAAATTCACTTAGACACTTTGCCATTCACAGACTCAGTATGGTGCAACACTGCGTGAACACTTCACGAATTTCCGTACTCACAATTCTGGGTCCATACACTTGTATAACATTTTCCATATACCGTATCACCATAAGGTCCTCACATATATAATACTGTATTCTGAAAGTATACTGGCATTAGAGTTCACATAACATACGTTACACAAAATAATGACCCGTTAGCACCTGGTTAAAATAACTTTAAATTATAGCGTATACATAGGAATATTAATAGTAGGAACTGTAAAATGCCCCGAGATATTAAGTAAATGGAATATATATCCTACCTAACACATAACTAAAGAATATTACAAATGCAGAATTAGCATCCACTTAACCTTTGCATATAGTGCAATGCTTCTGTTAGCACTCAGAATTAAAACACTGGGCACTCCCACGATGGAACATTTCACAACTAGTGCCACGGCCCAAACATGTATTCACTGTCTGTAAGTAATACTGAGTTAACAACAGAAAAAAAAATTTGGGCAGATTGTTACATATCAAAATTCTTCCACTATTAATGAACCTTATTCACACTCTACAAGTTATTGTTGCAGGTTTCCTTTTACTTTAAACAAGACTTTTTCTAACCTAACTCCAAGGTATTTCTTTGAACTTATTTCACTTTCTCTGCAAACCACCACAAAAAGCTGTACCTCAGAAAAATATGGAACAAAATTATTAGCAATCTGAAATACTCATTAGTTACAGTGGAATGGTTATTAAATACCCGTACAGAGAAATGGTTATCACTCAGTTAAACTACAGTATCACAGTCATTCCTCCCAACTCGATACTATGTTCATTACATCCCACCGCTGCCACCATTTATGAGGACTTGAGCTGCCACCATTTATGAGGGCTGCTACTGCCACCCTTCATGAGGGCCTGTGTGCCAGTAACAATTCCTTTTTCTCTTATACATCACCATTGGTAGCGTGACGATAGGAGGCTCGTGGGTAGGTGTAATGATAGTATCAAGCAATAGGGAAGAAATAACGGTAAATACTGTAGGTAAATAATATACACAATTATACAAATACAAAGTTTATTTAAACATGAATATGAAATTAGAAGAAAAAATTGGTTTGTACTAACAGACGAAATCTATTACTAGGCCCTCAGGCTCAACATACTCACACCATTACTGGGTGGACATATTCAATACACTTCCAACCCTACTGGGTGGACATACTCAATAGCACAACTATGATAGTCACTTAGCACCATAAATACTAGGCAACTGCCACTACAACACTCAGTCGTCAGGAGTGATACTCAAGCAACAGCCATGGGGTCCAGCCACCATGGAGTACTATCTGACGAACTCTGGAGATCCCAGTGGGTTAATTCCACCACACAAATATAGCCCTACTGAGGTAGACACTCATCCACCAATGATGGGGGCTGGTAGTGGTGTGTGGCTTGGTGGTCCGGGGTCACCTCGTGGACCGAGCGTTAGGGCCAGACGAGCCAGCTATGGGGGCTATAGGTGGTCTGAAGTGTCTGACGGCCGGGTCTCACGAAGGTAACTGATCCTACTGGACCTCGGACATGTCCCCAGACATAGTGGATACAACATCCACCCTACAGACACGGCCTAGGCTGCGTTAGGGACCTGTATGGATGAAGGGACGGGCACTTACTAACCGGTGACAACAACAACACGTTTCAGGGGACGTTAAAGACGTAAATATGACTTTACTCAGAGCATATCAACTACGTTACTGTAACACTTGCACAATCAACTATCAATTGGGTCAAATCACTTAAAGAAGGGCAAATTACAACACAGCGTGGAATGGCATACCTGTATGGATGAAGGGACGGGCACTTACTAACGGTTAAAATGCCCGCGGCGCCCTCACTCAAACTAGGCCAGGGAGTCCAGCTACTCCTATTCCAATGAATTAATTTACGGTACCCTCTGACGTTGAAATTGAGACTATGAACTCCTTTTCATTCTCTACTATTATCTTCACTAACAATGCTCTGACTCAGCTATCGAAAGCAAAATTAAATTGATTACAAAGGAATGGATGGCAACAGGTCCCAGCATACAGCGTCTGCTCCCATAGACAAAGGCGGGGGAAACAGAGAAAACGGGGGACGTTTCCACTGGGGGACTCGGAAGGTTTTGTGGACGTTTGAGCGTAATATGAATCCTTAAGGTTTTCAGGTTAGCTCTTATCATGACCATTACAGTAACATTATTTTTCAACTCGTATTTTTGGGTAGATATACATAATTTTATTCATTGTTTTTACTGTTACATGCACACACAATCATTTACACAGAATGTGTAAAAAAATAAAATAAAATAAATTATTATTGAGGTCAAAAACATAAAGAGTATAAACAATTCTTAAATTCAAGGGAATTAAGTGTCGGGTTGCGGAAGAGGGAGGGGGGGGGGATGTCGTGGTGTAGGGGATCTTAACCTCTCCCTATCAAGCTGAGCAGTGAGCTGTGTTATTGCTCTTTTGCAACTCGTAGTTTTAGTATATATACAGTAAGTCCTCGCTTAACGTCGAGGTTACGTTCCCAAAAATGTGACGTTTTACGAAACAATGTTAAGCAGATTAATTTTCCCCATAAGAAATAGATAAAATACGGGAGTTACGTTCCTGAGCCTCCCTTTGCCCCATGAAAAACATTACATATGCAGAAAGTCATTGCCATTTCTATAGAAAATAGTGCATACATATACAACTATTTAGTTTGTATTGGTACTCATTGATGGGCGGAGGTGGTAGAGCGAGTGTGTGGGGAGGAATATGGTGGGAGTGGAGGAGGGTGGGAAAGGAGGAGGGTGGTGAGTCACTGAGACTCTGCGCCAAGCCGAGAGAGCGTAGCGCGGCCAGACGAGAGAGGGTGATTCACCGTAAAATGTAGTCTGTGACGACACAAAACGGCGTAGTATCGGATCACCGGGAAGTTCAATGAATTTTTGGTCTTTAAAGTTAGTGGCGTAATACCGAAACAACGTTAAGCGGGACGACGTTAAGCACGGACTTACTGTATGTAATTTTATTATTAGTAGTATTTTTTTTTACCGTTTCATGCAGACACTATCATTTATACAGAATGTGCAAAAAAAAAAATCATTAACATTAGGTCAAAAACATACAGTATAGAGAATAAACATTCTTTATGTCCACGGGAGTTAGCTCAGATTGTGGGAGTGGGAAGGGGGAGTGCATTCCTGTCTACCATGTCCTTAGTGAAATGATTGCCAAATGACAGTGCAGTATTTTTTTTCTTTTCATTTATTTATTAGTATTATTTTTATTCTTTCCTACTTTACTGTAAACAGACAGCACTCGGCGCTGATTGGCTGAATGAGTCAAACCATAAAGAGCTGCCCTTTGCATGTTGTGAGTGTTTGGACTCATGACTTTTATGGATTTTTTATTTTCCTAGAACTCCAAAATGCTATCATTTGTATTTAAAGGAAACAGTGCTCCACAGGGTAGCATTAACCGGTGTATCATTGTATGTTATAATGACCCCGTTGTAAGCTGATTTTCTGGATGCTCTCTCTCTAGGAACACATCCTGAATTTTCAAGGGGTATTACTGTACATGTTGGAATGCATATTTACTTAATTACATTAATTCTAATGGGGAAAAATCATCATTATAAAACTTTTCACTGTAAGTCGCATTTCTCTGGAAGACATCTTTACGTATAATGATGACCCCCTGTATATGTATTTCCTTTGCAAATTAATACTCATGATCTGTGCACAGTACAGGTATTTAGCCTTCCACTCAGTACAGGTGCTCCTCTTCTTAAGAATGTTCAACTTACAAATTTTCAGAGATACAAACATCATCACTGAGGGGGGTTACCTGCCACAACAGGTGTTTAATGTGGATGAGACTGGATTATTTTGAAGAAAATTCCAGATAGAACAAATATTACCTTAGAGGAGAAGAGTGAACCAGGTTTTAAGGCTGTATTAAAGGGTGTAGCTGTACTAAATATCCATAATCTTTTCATTTTTTACAATATGTTTGGTATCTACAAGAGTATAGTTGGACTTACAAACAATTGGACTTACAAACAAGCCTCAGGAACGTATCTTGTTCGTAAGTAGAGGAGCACCTGTATCTTGGTAGACACCCAGTTAAATAATATTGGATAATCCATGTTGTTATTGTATCATAACTACATTAACTAAGATATTAAATTTGATGACAGGAGCTGAGCAAAACGGGCAAGGTGGTGTTGAGTCAGAACCAGGTGTTACAGCATATGGGTCAGCTGTTTGCTCTTCGTCACCTTATTAACCTGAGTTCAGACCTGCTAGACATACCAGACTTCTACTGGGAGCATGAAGAGCTGGAACAACTTTATAGAAGGGTGTCAAACCATCTCAATGTGTCTAAACGCACTTCAGTAAGTTTCCATGTTTGATTCATAGTGCTGTAAGTTATCCTCTCATTGTTTAGTTCATAGTGTTGTAAGTTATCCTCTCATTGTTTAGTTCATAGTGTTGTAAGTTATCCTCTCATTGTTTAGTTCATAGTGCTGTAAGTTATCCTCTCATTGTTTAGTTCATAGTGTTGTAAGTTATCCTCTCATTGTTTAGTTCATAGTGCTGTAAGTTATCCTCTCATTGTTTAGTTCATAGTGCTGTAAGTTATCCTCTCATTGTTTAGTTCATAGTGCTGTAAGTTATCCTCTCATTGTTTAGTTCATAGTGTTGTAAGTTATCCTCTCATTGTTTAGTTCATAGTGCTGTAAGTTATCCTCTCATTGTTTAGTTCATAGTGCTGTAAGTTATCCTCTCATTGTTTAGTTCATAGTGCTGTAAGTTATCCTCTCATTGTTTAGTTCATAGTGTTTAGTTCAAAGTTATCCTCTCATTGTTTAGTTCAGTAAGTTATCCTCTCATTGTTTAGTTCATAGTGTAAGTTATCCTCTCATTGTTTAGTTCATAGTCCTCTCATTGTTTAGTTCTGTAAGTTATCCTCTCATTGTTTAGTTCATAGTGCTGTAAGTTATCCTCTCATTGTTTAGTTCATAGTGCTGTAAGTTATCCTCTCATTGTTTAGTTCATAGTGTTGTAAGTTATCCTCTCATTGTTTAGTTCATAGTGTTGTAAGTTATCCTCTCATTGTTTAGTTCATAGTGCTGTAAGTTATCCTCTAATTGTTTAGTTCATAGTGCTGTAAGTTATCCTCTCATTGTTTAGTTCATAGTGTTGTAAGTTATCCTCTCATTGTTTAGTTCATAGTGTTGTAAGTTATTCTCTCATTGTTTAGTTCATAGTGTTGTAAGTTATCCTCTCATTGTTTAGTTCATAGTGTTGTAAGTTATCCTCTCATTGTTTAGTTCATAGTGCTGTAAGTTATCCTCTCATTGTTTAGTTCATAGTGCTGTAAGTTATCCTCTCATTGTTTAGTTCATAGTGTTGTAAGTTATCCTCTCATTGTTTAGTTCATAGTGTTGTAAGTTATTCTCTCATTGTTTAGTTCATAGTGCTGTAAGTTATCCTCTCATTGTTTAGTTCATAGTGTTGTAAGTTATCCTCTCATTGTTTAGTTCATAGTGTTGTAAGTTATCCTCTCATTGTTTAGTTCATAGTGTTGTAAGTTATCCTCTCATTGTTTAGTTCATAGTGCTGTAAGTTATCCTCTCATTGTTTAGTTCCTCTCATTGTTTAGTTCATAGTGCTGTAAGTTATCCTCTCATTGTTTAGTTCATAGTGCTGTAAGTTATCCTCTCATTGTTTAGTTCATAGTGCTGTAAGTTATCCTCTCATTGTTTAGTTCATAGTGCTGTAAGTTATCCTCTCATTGTTTAGTTCATAGTGTTGTAAGTTATTCTCTCATTGTTTCATGTTTTTGGCATGTAATGCAGATTGTCATGTAGAAACTGTCCTTCACCACACATTTCATAAAGGCTGCTTTTGAAATGTATTACCAGAGAGTTTCATTCTAGGTTTGGTTACTGTAGGCCACATAAGAAAATTCTTTTGTGCCCAGTGGAGAGGATGAGTCGTGGTCCTTAGTATATAATGTATCCACAGTATAACTTCCTTTAACCCTTAGACCCCAGGTATCGTAAGACCCACTAAACTCCCCATGCAGGCATATTTCAGTAAAAAACACTTTTTTGTAAAATCCATTATCTCCTTAGAAATGGGTTAGTCAATACAAGAAAAATACCAGAAGAATGTACTTACATTCATTGTAACATGGTTGGAGAGTTGTCTGGCATGTTGATGAGCAGTGTGGAATAATGAAAGATGTATTGTTTGAAGTTACTGCACACAGGCCAGAGTAAATGGGAAGTGATGTTGACATGCACATGCAACACACAGTTCTTACTTGAAGGCACCTATATACTGAATAAGTAATATCTCTGTTACCCGAAATCCCTCAAACCCGGAACCCTCCTATAGGCGGAATTGAAATTTGCTACCTCCCCCACTGCTCTCCCCTTCCCAGGTCGACATCATGGCTGGGAAATGTGTTTGTCAGTGTCAGGCCGATATCAGAAATGCACAACCTGTATTTGTGTGAGAAGTAACACACAATGTGTGGGTTGTAGGAAAGGGACCAGCTGTCAAAATTCCCATGGCGGAGATCCATCACCTGATGAGGACAGGTCAGACAATAGCAGTGAACCCACTCAGTCAGAAAATACTGTTCATGAGGTGAGTGACATACAGTCAACAAATTGGAAAAGCTTGTTGGGGGACGATGCAGAGAAGTGGGTCAAAGAAGCCTACTCAGAAGTGGTTAGGTGATCGCCAGCTAACCTCTTTGAACCACGCCAGTTACGACACCTCCCTGGCCCCATTAGCTCTAAAAATACTGGCCATAATACCCCATCTATTCTGTCAGAGGACACACGCAAGGTCTAAGGGCAAAGAAAATGTGGCAGCAATGAATAGAAGGGGGATGTTTTTCTTTCAGTTATTGAAATGTCTCTGTGTATTGGCAAAATACCACCGGACGATTCCTCTGTGAGAGGTCTTACCACCGAGGACACTTTTCCCACACGCATCTTGTTACCAGTTTTTCTGGCAACATCCTCAGTGTTTTGCTTTCCGTCTCCTATGAATTTTAGACTCTCCTGCAGTGTTCGCTCCGACTACTACTACTTTTTTTTTAACGTGGTGGCCTCCATCCTCCCCCTATAGCCACACCTTTGCCGCCATTTTATTTCCTTAAAATTAAATATCATAATACATAAGTAGCTATCCTAGCTGTGTTGAGCTAGTTGAGCCGCAGATCTATGCAGCATTCAGTGACTGTTGCCTCTTAGTCAATATCTACAACTGTTGTCGGCTTTGGGGCCGATGCTCTCGTTCCCCTGAGGCAGAGCAAAGCCGACCTAAGGAGAGAAAAGAACAGTCGACATCTCATCCAGGCTGTAACTTAACTTCTGGTCTGCTGCTTCTGTTCGGATAGCACCTCCGCGAGTCTGGCATAGAAGCATCTTGCACTTGGTCCTATCCCACCAGAGGTTGTGAACACTAGAGTAGTGAAGCTGCCTTGGTCAACATTCTGAATTCTCTCCCCGTATGCCCTTATCTTGTCGTTCTCGTTCCTCCTGTATGCAGCATCGAGAGCTAAGTTACGGTAACATGCGGCCATGGGATAAAAAATCCTAATGTCGAAGAAGGCTCGCTGTCCCCACGTCCAGAATCCTCGAGCACTGACGTCAACACGAGCTTCGTTGGATGTGTTTGAAGTCCTATGTTAGAAATTCTCACCGTCCAATGGAAGGCGGGTCGGTTCTATCCTGACATCACAGCAGATTTCCTTCAACATATTTGCTGTGAGATCCCTTACTTCGTCATGCCTCACGCATATGAAGCCCCCTTTCTTGCTCACCATGGCGTAATCGACGTCATAGGAAGAGCCACACACGCATTGGGAGGGCAAACCTTTTACTGGCCTACTGTACCTTAGAGCATTGGCATCTGTAAATTCTTGTTTATTGAGACTGAAACCATTTGCCCTTATCGGTAACGTAGTTAACCAGTTCGAGGCGCCCACCTCCTGCGCTATAGCTACTTTTTTTTAAATTCTCTGGTACTTGCAGCAACAGTTGCTGCAACTTATCACTTTGGCCGTGCTGTCTTTCTGTTGTAATGGACCTACGAATCTTGTTTACTTCACTGGTATCCACCTCCCCTGTTGCGTTCTGAGCTATTATATGGTCCATGAGGGCTGCCGTGAGCTTAACTGAGTTTTGATGTTCGGTGGCAGCAATCTCCTCTGGATTTGTCAATCCCATTCCTCCCAGTCTCGGTGGTAGTGCAAGGAGTCTTTCTGCTGGGGTTAAAGGAGGGTGTTTCACTAATTTTGGAATGAAATTGATGCTGATAGCTTCTTCCAGAGGGTGGAGGAGGGGTCTGATATCAGGATAGTGCGCATCAGGTAGTTCCAGCGATGCTTGACTCCATGGGTGAATGCCGCAAAAACCGCATGTGGCTCTGTGTTAGCAATCTCAGACAGAGCTTGGATTTCCCTAACCCACTCATTCACCTTTCCCGTTACGTACTCGGTCTTGAAGTCCGTCGTGCCGCTTACTGCGCCTAGGTGTCTTTGGCCATCCTTTGTTATTTTGACCTCACTTCCACCGAACACCTCCATTGCCCGTTAATAATATTCTGACTTCACAATGAGGAAGGACTTGCTGGCGTTTGGGTGGTACCATATTTGTGGGCCTCGTGATGTTACCAGGTCCCACCACTTTTTAATGTCCTCCATTTTTCCTGCTCCTGTAAGGTCATCAGCTTACGCCACTTGCTTGACTGTGGTTGTTTCATATTTTATTGTGTGTTGGAACACGGATAGGCCTATTGTGTACATTGCCATTGCAACAGGGTCCCCCTGCTTTGTTCCCTCGGTTGACTGTATGATGGTATCACCTCTTAGAGCCTTGTTGTTTACTATATAGAGGTCTGATGGATTCCTATAGGTGTTTTCAACATACATTGCAAAGCTTGGACACTTGAACTTGATGTTGTGCAGTGCGGCCTTGTGGTTAAGTATGTTGAATGCGTATGAAGCGTCCACCAGGAGAACGGCCTCACAATCACGCTGCTCAAATATCGTTATCATGGTGTGAATGGCAGCTTCCCCTCCAGCCTGGTGGCCAGCACAAACTTGCAGGTTCCCTGCTGCTGCCCTGACATCATCCTTTACCACCTCCATTATGCATTTTCCGATGATCCGCCTCAGCACTTCCCCCACCCCTATAGGCCTACATCCTGGATTCTTATCCAGGGGATTGGGGCGGCATGCCGTCAGAGCATGGAGGTGATGGCAGCACGAGGATGCCAGCTTTCTTGCAAGGACGGCAATGGCAGTGCAGAGATCACTTGCTACGGGGCCAAACCTGTTAGTGCTGAGGATGACTCTCCAACCGTTTGC